TGAAATGAAAAACGATAATAATTTCATATGTAATGACATGGGTCGGGACTGTAACGAACTTCCCATAAACGTTACGTGAAGAGGATCTATATATCTAACCACGTCGAGGCACATATCCAATTGATAATGTTCAATAAGACGCACGAAAGCATCTCATTCGATCAGCGTCGTGAATTCGAGGAGAACGAAGCAGCAAAGATCAACACCTCAAAACTGAGCGCGTAGCGAGTGCAGCCAAAATGCCAGAATACGATCAAGCGCCAGAATCAATAATGAAAAAGAAGAAAAATCACCCTGCGGTAATGATTGATTCTATGCTTAAGAATGATTATTGATAATTTCATTAACATACATCACTCCCAAGTCTAAAAACTAATAATCTAGAAGAAATATTTATTTAGACTTTGAAGAATCTCCATTTCACAAAATATTGTAACTTTAGTGAACGCTATGCTTTCCTTCATTTGGGCCACGTGACTGCTATGTAAAACAAATTTGAATAAGATGAAAGTAACGGCCGTTTCATAAAACACCAAGCCCAAATCTGTTTATATAACGTAAAAAAATACCACAGCAGTCGATAAAACACAGTTTGGTAATTATATCTCAGCGTTAATATACATACAGATACACATATGTATCAGATACCCATGACGAGAATCGATTGCCGATCTAGTTTCAGCTCTTAAGTACGAATCATTTGGCAATTAACTTTTTCCTTTTGTTTGGCGCCAGAATGATTTTTTTTCAAGGAATTCTCAGCATAACAAATTAAATCTAATTAATTTGATCATTTGACAATTTAAAGTCCAATAAATTGCATTTTTTTTTCAATATGACAGTACAAATGCGAACAGATACCAAGTTTCCATTCTTACACAGGGACAGCTACTCGTTTAATGTATTTTACTACTGAATAGAAATTCGCAATACAGAAAAAAGTGCAGAAAAGTCGTTCAATTACTCAAATTTTATGGTTTTGATGTTTACGCTGTAGTATGACGTACTCCATCTAATGACTTCACTTTTCACTATTGAAAAAGGAAACTGAATCCTGCAATTATTCTTTAAAAGACTAATGTGTTCGGGAGAGATACAAACTCACCACATATGTAGGATAGGCGCATCCATATCGAATACTATGCATAATTCTCAGAGCCTTTTATTCCCTAATTCAAATTTAAAAGAAATGTAACCGACACAGTTCTCCAGTTCACAGCAAACTTTACACCCTAAAATCACCTTTTTATTTTCTTATAGTATTTAAGACCTCACTATCATAGTCAAACAATCATCTTACACTACGTGATTCGACAAATAACTGGAGTACAAATTTGTGTACTATAAACCAAAGGTGCTCAGTGACCATATTGCTTTGTCTACAATGTCAAACAAAGACCAAACTTATCGAACTATATGTGGCTCGATCCATATTTCTTGGAACGAACATTTTTAAAAAAGCCCTGAATGACCAAGCACAAGTTGTCTCTAAGAAAATGAAGTCCAGATTCGCAATCACTTCATTCACTTTAATGATTTTCTTACTACGACATCTACACTACCAAAATTCTGCTGCCGAGAATCTAATATAACTAATTAACTATTTAAATCCCGTCTAACAAATTTCCCAAATACAAACTCATCGAGTGTTTGCATGATTACAATTTCAGATGAAGAATTATTAAATTAAAAAAAAAACCACAAATAAAACTGTGACACCTCACAAACATTTATAATTCAGTTCATAAAACCAATCACCTCTCAATTTTATTTCCTGTTCTCAACTTCACATACATCTGATAAAGCTTTGAAGTAACAAAAATTAGCATTGTTCAGAATAAAGTCTATACAAAAACTTTGGCAAAAAATTGAACTGGTGAAATATGATAAAATTTCCAGATACAGTACGGAATGCACCATACAGACCCAAACTGCTTAATTTAGATTCAAATTAGACGATGAAAAAGTCATTTAAAACAGCTCAAGACGATCTATAATTCGCAAAACTCATTTCTATACGACATTTTACAGAAAAACAAAAAACTACTAATTTGTGTTTAAAACTTGTTTAACTTTTGCTAACAAATTAAATTAAAAAACTAGTAATTAACTATTCATCACCGATCACCCACTGTTTAATCAGTAAGTAACATCTTAGTGAAGCAACAGAGCTGTTCGATGAAAAAATGACACGATTTTAAAGAAAATAATAGCCTAGTCTAAAGCAACCAAGCACTTTGGAGAGTCGACAAAATATAACAAAGCATACTGAAACAACACCACGGATCAAATTCGGTAAAAATAAGATGAAAATCTAACCCAAAGAAAAGAAAAATGTTAATTATTATTGATCAACTACTTTACAACATTGTTCGCGTTTAAACACATTTTTATCACCTAAAACGTCTTTTAAAACTGAAATTAACTCTTCCCATCCATGAAAGAAATCAACAAATGCGCTAACCAAACATTTATTGCTGTACCAAACATCGACACTATTACACAAGACTCTAGAACGACATTCTAATATGACCCATAGTCTTCGAAAATTCCATCAACTACAGACACACAAGAAACGTTTTTGCTTCGCATTAGTAAAAAAAATGCTTTGGATAAAAGTAAAAAGTTAGTCATTTGACAAAGTTAGAAATAATATTTTCAGAGTTCTGTTAGCACTTTGCATGCTGACCAAAAACACGAAAATAAATTTGACGAACATCACAACAAAGTGAAACGTTGTTACTTAGTCAATCATAATAAAATCTATCATTTGCAGTCGAACAACAAATTAAAGTGTAGAAATACCTTATAAAAATGACAAACGTGCAGCTCTCGTAACAGATTATCATTATTAATATAAAAGTCAAATTTATTATGCGAAAATTTTCTTATCGCTATAAGATCATTCCAATTAAAATTATTAAAACTTTTGCTCACTGGTCCAGAACATCTGCAAATGAAGAACTCACAACCTAAAAGTGATACGTTTCATGAAGATAGAAGCAAAGCTTGTGGAGTATGATGTACAATAGCTTCCGTAGTTACAACTGAATAATCACCTTCAATTCGATTCAGTGAACTCAATAAAGTTTTGTCGGTTTCTCGAGAGATATTCACACTTAAAAAGCACATTTTATGGCCGTTTATAACAAATTTAGTAGTGAACAATGATAAATTAAAAATAAATTTTCACATTATATTCTTGCTTAAAGTTAATACCTTAAGCAAGAATATAATGTGAAAAATTAGAATACGTTCAATAACCAAAGAATACGCTTTCTTGGTATTTGATCTGAATTTTGTTAAATTGTTATTAATAAATCTGTTTATTCGAATCTCCTCAATTTGAATATTTCATCTTTACTAGCATTTCTGAGGAGTTTCTAGAGAATCAAGTAAACTACAACCTATTTGCATTTCTTTTTAGTACATCAGGTGCTTTCACAATGGCAGAACAAGATAATTCATCAAAAATCCAGTATAATATTAGGTCTAACTTGCTGGTAGCACAGTCACTTCCATCTCCTTGCATACGATCGGTCATCGTAGAATAACCATGATCGCTTGATTCAGTTCGCGGTGAAACTCGATAGTGAGGCCGAGCAGCTACGAGCGGTTTAGTCATTCTTTCAAATGATGTTAACTGTATAAAGGTGACAGCTTTTTCTAAAAATTTTTTAGGGCTGATGACGAGTATAAATATATATTTGTTGACGCAGAATCAATAAATCAAAAAAGATTAACCTTCATGTGACATTATTAGTATAAAACTCGGCTGGGCAATACTGTAAAGAAAAAAAAATGCGGACACCAGTTTTCTTTTTCGCTTTATTGATTCTGGCGCTGGATCGTACATCGGTATTCTGGATGTACACTTGTCCCGTGCTTAGATTCGTTCTGATCTCTTTCGCTCCATCCTCGTGAAATCCATAAGGATCATCGGATGAGGTGCTTCTGTGCGTTTTCCTAAGCACTATGATTGAATGTATGTTTCGACGTGATCAGATACGCCGATCTCCTTCGCGTAACGTTTATGGACGAACTTCCATAAACGTTACGCGAATCCTACCGCAAGTCCTCACATACGGAATCATTTCGATCCTGCATTGCGTCTCCGACCCAAATTTATTAGCCAGTTATACTTGCGTTATTTTGGGTCTCGACTGCTACCAATCAGTCCTCACCAGCGACGCTAACATCTATTAGGATAACTTCATGTCGTTTCTTACCGTGAACTATAATATCCGATAGATCCGCACTTAGTTTTATAGCTGTTCAACGCACGTATCGAGTCTTATCTCCGCGTTTTGACTGAAGATGATCTCATGAACGGAATGGCTTGCAAGTGTGGAAATGCTCACAGAATTTACTTCTTATAGAGTATCAGAACAGGTGCATCGTAGCACCCTACTATGTATTATAGCATAGTCATGATACAGCACTTCCTCGAATCGCGTTGCCAGATAGTCTATCGTATCCACGCGCTCTCAACAATGTGAGCACATACCTTTCCGAACCATATCTTTTTCAACTCCAAACATATTTTTAACCCGGAGATTACATTCCGCGTCGCAGCGATACTGATTCTTTTTATTAATCTATGCAAATAACTGATGGCTTATTTATGCTTGACCAGCCCAATGATACCTGGTTGCGGTACACTAGCGGATGGCACTTTAACATCTTTCACGGAGCTTTTTTCTGTACTCTAGTCTGACTGCTCACTGTTTTCTATTAAGATTCTAAATTTGACTTTTTTTCCCTGTTCAATGTCTATTTCCAGATTTACGACAGTTTAACCGTTATAATAACCACTCAGTTTCAACTCATTCACACTACTTATATATATTTATACATGCAGTGAGTGACTAGAAGTGAATTTTTTCATACCATCGCCTGGCTCAGAGCCAGCATGATCAAACTGAAAAACATCATCTTCAAATTTTCTTCCACACAGTGGAGCACCACATGAATCTGTGAACGAATTTGTAGTTACCAAACGATCTACCTGAGTTCGATAACAACAAACAGCCATCACCTATGGATTGATTTGAAGTTATTAAATTTCATTATGAGATAAGTAAGGTGTAAATTATTATAAACATTTAATTTTCAAATCCCGCAACAGCACTTGTACGAATTAAAAGCCGTAAACGATACCACGATTAAGAAAACGCTCATTATGCCAACAGCAACTGGTCCAACTGGTGGTCCTACTGACCACTGAGAAGATAAATGTGACTCACTTTCCAAAAAGCCTGCAAAATTCATAATTGGAAACTTGACATTTCAAATATTTCGTTTTCGTTCAGAGTTGTTCCAAAACGATTTGATTCACGAAAAACAAAAATGAATATACATCAATAAGCACCGCGAATTCGTCTTCCTTTTGTGCCAGCGAAGCACTGATCAGTAGATACACAAGACGGATCTAAAAGAAGTGTTTGCCCATCACTTTCAAAAGCACACCACTGACATCCCAGAACGCCCAAACACTCGTCCAGTGTCTTATAATTCTCACATCTGCAGTCATTTAAGCTACTAATTACGGGATAAATTCCAGACAATATTCTTCAGAAAAATAATACTTATTTAACAAGATTGGACTGCCAATGTTTTTCATCAACATAAAAGATTGGACTGCCAATGTTTTTCATCAACATAAAAAATACTTGATACTGATGCATTCCGGCAATATGTTTTTTTGCAACGATCCTATAGTAAGTGGAACTACTGTTGCCAGCACTGGGCACTCTTCTAGATAAGGGCAGTTAGGACTTCGTGCATTATTAGTCTTCTGCAATACGAGGCGATATTGAGCGAAAAAATTTACTTTAGAGAAACTGGTTAATACCATCAACCAACATGAAAATACAATGATGTTTTATTGCAGAGTTTGATAAGATGAACGCCTACCACATCAGTAAAACAATACGGACTACAATTCAAAGGACATTGACAGGGGCATTCACATTCCGCATCGTCGAAACGAGTACAAAGGAGACAACGACGATCACTGACTGAACATGGACAAAAGGCCTAGAATGAAAGTCATTTAAACTGAGATAATGTTCACAATAAGAACAAAAAATTCGCAAGTGCCTTATTTCTTCCAATATTTCTCAATTCTTTACTAAGCAGCATAAAATAATGTTATACTGTTTTTTCAGTAATAGCTTAGTATCAGTGCAAGTCAATAAATAATAATACCTGAATAGGGTGTTCTGGAATACAACTTTCATTTATAAGAGCCAAAAACAAATTTGTCTGCGGAATCGGAATTACTTCTGCCCGAATATTACCCAATTTAGTCCTGAACGTTGAGCTGCTCTCATCGCATGGAATCTGGATACTTTTAAATTCAGTACTTTTCAACTAAAAAACAGGAACAAACATAGAGGACTTTAAAAATAACTTTCACTTCTATCATCGATGAAATAAAAAAAACTGCTACTCCAGTAATGTTGTTTCAACTACTTTCACTTACATCTTGAAACAAAATAAATTTTTACTGTTAAAGCATCTGGATAAGAAACATTAAATCGATAGAAACGTTCGACAGATCGAGTAACCCACTGAGCACACTGTTTTTTTTCAACAAATTTCGAGTGTAAGATTAAACGCATAGCAAGCTGAGGTTCCAAATGACTAATGTGAAAACGTTCGATAGCATTCCAAGAGACAGTTGTTCCAAAAGATCTAGTTTTCTTACCCAAAAAACGAATTTCTATACCTTGCGAAATCACGTTTCCCAAATCAGTAAACAAGATGCAACGCCGAGACTAAAAATCAATAATTTAAAATATGTATGCCATTCGGGCTCAAAATGTTATCGATTTCATAAAATACAATCATTAATACATGGAGGGATGTTTTGCAAACATCAAATTAAAGTGCCTGTTCACTGAAAGAATATAGAAAGACAAAAAAAAAAAAAAAAAAAAACTTCTTTGCAACTATTTATTGTGCTGAGTAATAATTTCGCGAAAAATTCCACAGTGACATCCATTGCAACAACAGCAAAAATTTGGTCTCTAGAACTGTGTACATCACCAGCTTCTCCTTAAAAAACTTTTTAAAAGTGGATAAAAAGAATCAAAATTCATTATTACGGAGAAATAAAATCTTATTGAACTGACTCTCAAAAATAGCAGTAGAAATAGTCACAATCTGCCCAACACTGTCTTCCAAAAACGGTCCTGTCATGACAATTTTCCCAGGGAATTCTTTGGCTCGCACGTACCTAAAACTGACAAACGAAATCAGAAAATTCTAATTTGCATTACAGAAAGTAGATTACTCACGAAATTAAAAACCAAAATTAAGAAAACAACTACGGAATTCCGTACTTAACCAAAATCATGTTCTTTACAGCCGTTATTTGTTAAATTTCTTTTACGTCAATGCAGAATCTGAAACTGACAATTTTGCACAAACTAGATGTATATGAGAAATGTAGTTTTTAAAATTCTGGTAAATAATACGCGAACAAACTTTGTAGAAAAAAAATTCAAACAAACCACGGTTGTAAATCGGGTTCATAATTATCACGAACAACGAACGCAGGATAAGTTACCATGACACCTCGTGACGTTGCGATATAACGTCGCAAAACGAATTCATGTGATTTACTAGCTATTTTGTCACGCCAATATGAAATAATCTTAGAAAGTGCTCCTACATGTTCACGTACACCTGGTCGGATACCTGTGTTTCGAACCAAACCAAATGGGTCTCCTTTGTTAATATAACAAATTACCATTAACTTTGCAGCAATCAGAGAAAGGACTGGTGATCCAGATTTTTAGAATGGAAAACTTCATGTTTCATAGTATATGCTTTAAAAACTTGGGCATATTTCGAAGAAACATCAATTAAAAATTTCTTTTTTGCCTATATTTGAGAGCATACCAGAGAATTATTATATCGGAAAACTGATGAAAATACCTAGATACACCCAATAATTTATAATCCACTGCGGAGAGGGTGGTCGTTGCATGGAAGAGATGGTGAAACAATTGGGGCTCAAGTAAACACCCCCAAATTTCATAGTCGAAAGGTGACCAAAATGAGAGCAATAAGAGAGCGGAAAACCTTTCTGAAACAAATTGGTTGATAAGAATCATGTCAGCTTACTATATTTTAGAAACACTGCAAGAATCACTTGAATATCAAGACGGTGATACACAAGATTGTCCAGAACGAATTCCTGTCTTGAGTTTTTCAACAGCACTGAAACTTTAGATTCCACTTTGCTCATCTTCATAGCCATAACAACAACAAATGGCGCATTCCTTAGCTGGAGAATAATTTCAGTTGAGAATACGAAAGTATGAACTAACGACTGAATAAAGAAAATATAATAAATGCAACAAATCATTTTCTTAAAGAATTATAAACATACTTTAATCCAAGTATACTTCAAAGAGCTTTTTTTCCCCACTTGTTCTTTGGCAATTTCGAATGAACCTTCGTAAAATTCTGGGGCTGAAAAATTTCCGCTGGGCCACGAATCTTTTTCAGGCCAAGCTTCTAAAGTACCAATATGCATTGGCCATGGTGAATTTCTATGCATATGAGACGCGATGATGACTCGACTTCAGAATATGAATAAATGACAGCATTTAACGTTTGTAAAAAACAATCGATCTCTTTAAAACTACTAAATAATCGAGATGGATTTCCTTATGTTGACTGTCACCTTTTTTAAGATTTTTAACTAAAATAACCTTCCTGAACATAAATAAAGCAAGAAACTATGAAAAATGAGTGGGAATATATTTATAGAGTAAGAAGTGGAAAGCATAAAATTTAAACCTGAAGCACACGAATATTTTTGCAGGAAACTGACAAATTTTAAATTTCTTCGAATACATAAGGAATCAAGTTACCCTTCTAGATCACACAGAAAAATCCGTAATCCAGTTTCAAACGGTGCCATTACCACCAAATCACTGTATTTGATAACATCAGCTATTACATCCAAATTCAAATCCATTCCAACAACAGCTTCCTGAAAATTAATTTATTTATTGAAATTGCACTGCTGATTAAAAAATAAAAACCAAAGACTTACCATCTTTTTATCTTTCACAAGATTTGTTGAAACCGATATGAGAGTAGAATCGTATTCATTAAAAGAGTATGACCAAAATAATTCTTCGCTTGATGAGTAATGATTACTAACAGAAAGGAGTTCAAATATCTGCATTAATGTTAATGTAGCATGTTCATTAGCTCCAACAGAAATCATCTGTAATAAAAAATTCTGAAAGGTTAGCAGAGTTCAACTACATGCAAAAAAAAAGATAAAGCATGCTTATTTAGACCGGAATTATCTAAGGTCAAAAATTACTCCATATTGTCTCTATTTTGAGAAATGAAAGATACTTTTCCCGGAATCGTCCTTTCTTTCAAGACCGTTTTGAATTTTTCGCTCAACGACTGCTGATATGGCGAAAAATTCATTTCCGCTATATTTTTCAAAAATTCACAAGACCAAAAAAGTGGCGCTTTCTCACCTTAAGATTCTATATCAAAAAACCCATATTAACAAACGGAGTATACACTTTAAATTGGCATTTCTGCAGCTATTTCAATAGATAATTTCGTCACAAATTTTCTACATGTGATTTGTTGGCACATGTCTCATGCATAAACATAAAGAAACCTAATTTTAGCTACTAGAAGTAAAGTCCCACATATGACTTTTGTTTATAACTGCCAGAAGTCCAATATATTATTTTGAGGTAACTGTAAGAGGTTTGAGAATTTCAGCGAAAGAATAAAAATGAACTCAGCTGAATTTTTGTTTAAGAACTTCTGCAAAATTTAACGCATTTTACAAAAACAGAGAGGTTTTAGCACAAACAAAATGGTGATTACCATCGTTTAATGCAAGAGTATTAATTTTAACGCGAACATTTGTTTCCAAAAGAATATTCGCGACTGCATTAAGGACTGACACTGCCTCTCCCAATTCTGACATAACTCCTCGACTAATGTAAAACAAAACATTGTAATAAGACTCATTTTTACCAATTTCCCGATCCCGTTTCTCTTCCTGAAAATATCTCAAATTAAGTCAGCCTAAATGAACTAATACATGGCCTTTTTGACAGCAAAAGTCAAATTTTAATGTTTCTGATCAAAATCTGAAACCATGAAAAAAAATTTGAAGAAATGAGCAAGCATTATAAAGTTGCATTACTATTTTAATTAATGCAAAGACAAAAGTAACTCCAACTTCCCTAAGAAAAAAAAAACGGAATCTCATAATAAAATGCTGTTGATAGAGAAAATGCTTAGTACAACTTAAGATCGTAGAAGTATCAGAAAACATAACAAAAAACAGTTGAAGATAGCAAATACTGAACAGGTGTTCTGTTCAGTTCAGTTCAGATTACGTACATGAATTTTTCAAATACAATGTGTCAAAAATAATCTCCAAAGAAATTAAGAGCATTTTACGAGGAATAGCTAATTTTAATACAAAAGTTTTATTACATTTTAGCATAGTTATTACTACAAAAAATGAAATATTCCAAATACCTCAACAAACAATTTGTAAGCTGCCCGAATAGCAGTAGTATGTGAAAATAATTTGTGATCACCTTGTTCAAATCCATCAATAAATGTGATCATCAGAGCAATTTCTTCATTCGTAGCAGCGAGAAAATTGTTCAATTTGCAAGCTTTTAAATTAGTTATTCCATTTGACACCAGCACCATGTACCTATATATTTACAATTTTTGACTTACCAATAATAAATATATGACCACAAACGACAAAATATTCCTTGGACAACACTACATCTGATAAGCTGGAATTGATCATGCTTTATTTCAGGAATTCTAAAAAAAGCAAGACTAGAAAAGCTGATATGTTCAGAAAGCCAAAATTTAGTGATTAACCTTTCAAAAAAAATGAAGAGTCCACAGATAATTCTGATTAATGTAATAATGTAGACCAAGATCAACTAAGAAGCCGTCATTGGTAAGAGCGGAATTGCATCTAATGGACAAAACTTTTTTAAAAAGAAATTAAAAAAGAAGCTTACACAGAAGAACTCACCTATCTCCGGGAACGGCGCCATCAAGAAGGATTTTAGCAACATTTTTAGCTCTGGCCAGTTGTGTGGCACTATATAATGTTCCTAAAATGCTTTTAAGGAATTAAATAAAATGAATAACTCTCTGGCCAGAATACAAATGCATTACGAATCACACTTCCGTATCAAAAAACGTTGTACATACCTAACCTCTATATAT